GTAAGAATGGTAGTACAGATTCTGAGGGATTAGAAGCTCAAAGGCTTGAAAGTTTCTGTTTTCTTTGTGTTGCATTGAACCAGGTTTGATGTGCTTTTGTGGTTGGGCGAAACTGCCCAAAGTCAGGCTGTCATTGTCAGGCTTTGGCTGGAAAGAGGCTACTAATGCGCCTAAGGTCTGCCGCTGGTCGAATTGCCCCTTTCCGCACCATTATGCGCTGCAACCCTTCCTTGGATTCCTGAGTGCGCACTCAGCGCGTGCAAATGTTGCCGATGCGCGCATGTGCAATACACTTCAATTGCGTACATAAGGGTCACGAAGGTCAGTTTCGAGTCCAGTGTGTTTTAGACTTTTTGGTTTCAATCCCCCTCGTTCCCTGCATGAACCCCTCATGGCCTTAACACCCGAACATAATAGGTAACGAACAAGCTTGTTGTCCATCTAATTATTCAGAAACGCAAAGCACTAGAAAGCGCTCGTCGCCTTCCCATCCTCAAGTAGATCCACGAGTCTAGTCCCTTGATCAGTGCCAATGCTGCCAAATGACAGCGTGCATGCATGCTCTGAATAGACTAGAATAGAAGGTCCATGAGGGCGAGATATGTAGTCGAGAAGGCCAGGCTGAATCAAGGCTGGAAATTGAATCACATGTGACTAAGTTTCCCGTTCTGCAGATATTTGCCCGATATACACTGGCCTCCAAATGAATGAGTGGAAGAAATTATGGTAAGCATACTATGCTTGGAGGCAGCGTGGTGAAGCACTGGGGCAACGCTATGCGTCTCTGCAGATGTACCCTCCACCTCAAACGTGAAGTTCTTCGTGAGCGTTTACTGGAAATACCATCAAGGGGAAACAAGCGGGCTGTGCCCCATGATCGACCCATGAACGACGTCGGCTGGCTGTGTAACCTGCTCTAACCGGGATGCTCCCCCAAATGCAAAGAAACATTGTCATGGGAACGGCCCTGCTGCATTCATCAATCTGTCGAGTCGATGGATCTCCAATTGAGAGTCCCAGTCGAGTGACTTCCCTTTGAACGCCAAGTCCGCCAGAATGGAACCAATGATGCTACTCATCTTGAAGCCATGCCCCGAGCATGCCGAGCAAATGACGACCTGCAGCCCAAAACAATCCCGTCGGGGTCAAAATCACACGATTTGTTCCATTGGAGCAACCGGCACAACGCCGACAAGCGATCTCAGCAATTTTAAACAGATCGAAATTGTGTGGAATATGCAAATACTGTTGTTGAACTTGACAGCTTCATCGAGCAATCAAGTCTGTGCCACTGTCGTCACAAATCCATGCATCAGCGACAAATTCATGCACACAACAATACGATTTGCAGCCATGACCCAGAAACGGTATCTGAATTACTCTTTAGTAAGTCAGCCAGCCAATCAGTCAGTCGCCTATCCTTCAAATATGAAGAGGCTCTACTGACTCACAACGACGGTGCAGTCTATCGCAAAACGCAACCCGATGCACGGCACTGTCTACGCATTGCAGCGTGTTGCCTTGCCACCGACAGGACGAGATTCTGAACTCAGCACAGTCATAAACGTATCACACGACCATGCACGAGTACATACGGTTCTCACGGAAGTGTTTAGACATGCCGTACCCTCCAACGCGCAGCAAATAGAGCGCATATCAAAGGCTTTGCAATGATCCAATGGCTGTCGCCAATTAGTGCATTTGTAGCGCATGTGAGAGCCCTGTAGCGCATGTGAGAGCCCGGTAGCGCAGTGCCACAGCAATGCATTGGAAACACACATTGCGTGCTTGTAACCACGCGAATTGGCTCCGTGCCCCCGAAACTCACCTGTGGGTGAGATGGGTGAGCATCTATAATGAAGTGTCCATCGGGGGTGTTGGTGAACAAGCACACGGAATATCTTTCCATGGCGCGACCCACACAATGGAAGTATTGTGCAGCTGTTGTCCTGAGGACTGATTCATCCTCCTCTGTCAGAAGCAGCCTGGAATGACTCGCTGGCACCTTCTCGAACAGGTGATGGTATTTTCCCAGTTTGAAACCTGAAGGTGCGAAGGAACGTTTGCTAAAAGATTATGCAAGGAGCACAACCAAGAGGGCGTAGTTTCACCAAGTGCACATCATTAACAGGTTATGCGTCACCCAATGCACTGTGAATTCAATTCCTTTGTGTGAATCTGCGTTCAAGGGACAATCGTGCACCTTGAAAGAGATGTCGACAACAACAATGGTTTTCTGTCCCTCATCCCATCATTTCACCTGCTCGCTACCCGTCTGCAACGTGTACAGACGGTGGTCGAAGAACTTGGTGTTGAGTGGTGCTCCACACACATCATTTGCTGCAATACGAGGTTCTAACAGTCATACCAAGGTTCAAGCATGGATAGACACACTGTAAATAGGCGATATTACGCTAGTAGAAGAATGGAGAATAATCGACTAGCAGCTCCAAAAGCAAAACTCAGAATATAGCAATATTCGCATTGTCACAAGGCATTTGACTTAGCAGATTGTCCAGTGCAGGAGCAAATGGTGCGTTGCAATAGTAAAACATAGAGTGGATCTTCTGTGCTTACTTCCTATGTTTGAGCATTTTGTAGTCCCTTTCCATGTTTTCCAGATTTTCTTCCATGTCTATCAACATCTGTTGTTTTGAGTATCTGCACCGCATTTTGTGAAGAAAAGTGCTTTCTGTGCATTCACAGGTCGTTTTTTTCCACTCGTATTTGATTCAAACCCCTAAATGCCCCACAATGAAGACTTAGCACTCATACGACTTTGTAATCGCCAAAACAAACAACCAAACACTGAGGAAGCAAGTTGTTAATAACAACGACAGGATTCTTCAAGCAAGAGCCACGAATGCCTCCGAACGGGATGCAGATAACCACAGAAAACGGGATGCAAATACACAAATACCCAAAGAAAGGGCTGCAGAAACAGACATTACCTATAAGGTAACGGATGGATGTATGAGCAAATACCTACAGACACCTATGCTGTCCTTTAGGCTTCGGCCTTCACGCCTCTTGACCACCCATAATCGTCACCTGATTTTCTAAAATTTGGAAAGGCATAGCACGAGCGAGATGGCCCTCCATCAATCATCATACATACTGGAAACGCGCCGAAAGCAAATCGGGGATCGTCCTGAGTGTCAAACCAGGCTACAACCTGACGCTCGGGAATGCAAACTGTCTGTTGCCACACACAATGCAGTTTTGTCACAAAGCCAAACACAGCTATATCAAGCAATGGTGCGCTCACTCTTGAGCCACGCACCAAAATTATGCACGAACGAATCAGTGCTTGTAGAAATGGAGGGAACAACACAAAGACATGATTGCACGGTGTGTCCAAAGCCCACAGGAACAATACCAGACTATGTGGAATCAGTACGAATGTGCGATCGAGTTGCAAAGCTCAACCCACCAGCATGCAACAATATCTCTGCAGATTGAGAGGCAATTCAGGTGAGCCGAAAGGGCGTGAGGTCTTTAGATAGACACCAAACTCAAAACTGCATGCACTGTTACTTGCTTACAATGGCAATCTACTTGTTTGATGGTGACCAGATCCCATCAGGGCGATGAGGGGCATTTCTACAGATAGGCAATCCCGTTCGATGCCAATAATTCCACCATGATGCTGGAATGGCCCTGTCCAGGCCAAGTTAGCTTCCCAAACTCTAATTTGCACAGTCATTCTATACCTCCAACTTTGCAAGTGCCATCGTTAACAATCCTGGCCAACGTACCCCTCATGTTACACATAGACTTGTGTTACATTGTGTCAGTCTCTGTGTGACCCAGCGCTCATAACCTGGGACTGTCAGAGCAGATGCATGAGCAAGCATGCTGGACCAGCGACATTATGAATGTACTGGTGCCAAACAAAGTTCACATACATATTGCAGAGGACATTTTATAAGGTGTCAGCAGCTGTAGTGTTTACACTACAGCTTTGGGTCAAAATCAGACTGAGAAAAATATCATTACTAAGAAGCAGAGTACACCAAATTCGCCCTGGTGTCACCCAGAAGACAATACACCGACTGCACAATGTAAAACTGCACACAGTTGGTGTGGGCCGCACCCACCTTCAACTGGGGCACCACTTCACCAATCCATGCTCCGCAGCACAGCACCAGGCGACTTGCCAGGTATGTCCCTCCCTTGGTGGTGGTCACCTGGACTCCACTTCCATCGGCCTTCCATGCAGTCATGCCATCTTCCCACCGCAGTTCAGTGCCTGCTGACTGGTACAAGACAACAATAAATGCACTGGGCCTAGCATCCAATATGTATGGTTGGCTAGCACTAATGTCACACACAGCAGTAATCGAACATTGGCAGCATGACCAGAGCTGTCCTTCCAGCAGCCAACAATACTCCTAATGTACTAGTACAAATACTACTTGTAACAGTATTGCTTCTTCTGAAGTACTTAGAATTACATCACAATTCAGCAGGCACCTTATAAGCCATTTCAAGTGTTTGTAATATAACTGACATTCCATAAATCCTTGGCAGTGGTGAATAGCAGCACCATTTGAGCTTGTGCTCATCTTCGTTGTTCCTGTGCATACTTGCTCAGAAACTTGGCTGTGATCAAAGATCACCACTACCAGAGAGCACAACATTCCACACTGTCTGCGTCTTTCAGCAAATGGCAAATTCGTATTGGAATTCTATACTAAAAGAAGCAATTTGCGCGATTAAATCCAGTAGACAGCAAGCCTGTCCCTCTCCCAGCACAATGCAGGCTCATTTACCTTGGCCACTTCGCAGTGTGCTGCGATGCACTTTTCTGATTCCAATATTCCAGCACCCGCCTCATACAAGGCTGGCATGTCGTCTGGGAGGTTGTACCCAAGGTACTGCCTGTTGACTTCCCGTCCCGACAGCAACACATGGTCGAGTCCATGCTTGACAGCAGCATCCCTTGCAGGCTTGCACGCATCTCCGATGGAAAGGCAGCCAGTGTTGTGCAGCAGAGGCTGATGGCAGGCAGCAGAGCAACAAGACAAGTTTATGCTTTGTGACAAGAGAAGCACTATGCAGGGGCAAACAACATTGTGAGGTGCGCGAGACTTGTTGTGTCTGGAGTATAGCGCATGCAATATGACCTTTTGCATAATTGTCTTTAACACATTCAGAGCTTGCAAGCAGAACCCTAACTGATTGCCAAGGGCAACATAGGGTTGCAGTCTGTCGAAAAGAATCTAGAAGAGGCAACCTTCCAACATAGCTGTTTGAACACACTTGATCTGCACCTCACTGCACTCTGTTCACAGACTGCATGCAGAGCCACGTGTAATGAACGCCAGTGGGCATGTTAGTGAACGGCGGGCCAGCAATATTAAGATAGACATACAATCACCGACCACAACAGGAATGTTGCAGAAGCTGCTCCTGCATGTGGCCTTGACTGTCGAATAAGGGGCTGTGAGTTTTGCCAGTTGTCGTATTGCCATTGCTCCATGCCCCGGTACACAGTAGTGGTTTCTTTGGGCATTTTCAGTTAATAGTCCATGAGCTGGTGCAGGGCATACGAACAGGATCGACAAGCAAACCTGCCCTGTTTCTCCCTCCAGCTCCCGCCAAAGGCGAGTAGACTCTTTCAACAATGGGACGTAGGAGGGATGCTCATGGTATGCCTTTCGAATTATGCGTGTGTCCCCATGAGAGGAGCCTTTCTTGTGGCCGGGCCCAAATTTGTCAAGTCCCAACACCTGTCAAAGCATTGCAGAGTTTAACCAGTCATGCTGACATATGCTGACACAAAAGGACACTTTTGACTGATCTTTTCAAACATGCAGAGTTTGCATTTTCAGATTGTATCTGAGACCGCAAGAGATTCTCAGCATTCCATGGACAGAAAGTCCTTGTTCTCAGGTTGTGCTGCAGTGCTGGCTTGTACTGCAGATCATGGAGGGTAAATCTCCTGCAGGTTGCTGAATCAGTAATGCCAGCCCACATAGTCACACTGACCAGCAAGGCATACCAACACCCCAGCAATGTACCACATTGCATACAAACCTGGAATACAGCATCAAACACCAAAAAGATGGGGCATCGCAGCACTATTTGTGCAACTTCCTGCACTGGATGAATATAGTACCCTGTGCCATCTGTTATGGACCATGAGCATTCCAACATACCCTCTGCTATAGCATACCACCTGTGTTCCACAGCACCGGCCATGTTTGATAAATGCCAGAGGTGCTACATAAGTCCCTTTTGTGCATTCAGTTGAACACCTGCTATATCCTCCGCGATCTACAACAGACATGAGCACTTCGGGCATAGTGCCCCACTTGCAGCCCTGAATCCAGGTAGGCATGGGACAAAATGCCAATCAGTTTCCCGACATCTGCACGTACAGATACAGGGCTCTTTGGTGTGTTCAGTTGCTGAAGTTCAATGCTGTGTCCTTTCCATGGCGGATTGGGTTCACAGTGGAACTGCATAAGTGCAACATTACCTGCACAACATCATTTACTGCAACACAACAGAGGGCACCAGTATTCCTATTCATGGAGGAAATGCCTGCTGTTTGAAGTACATCAATTATTTTCTGACCATAAGTGAGACAGAACTGGTCGATAAGAAAGTATCTGCTGTCTTGCCAGGCATGATTTACTTATGGATGGACAGCAACGTTTGATGGACCGCACCCACCGCCAGACGAAAACCATTGGCTCTAGATGGCTGCCTGCTCAAGGCTGTGAAAGACTACATCAATCTGCGAGCCAGTTCTTTCTTTGTTTGTGGGACATCGATATGAAACAGTGCAGCTTTTTGCCACAGGCTAAATTTTGTATTGTTGGGTGGGCGAAATTTCGGCTTCTCGCTACTTCTCATCTACAATCAACCTGTGGTCAAGCGGGATGGCAGCTGTGGGGAAGCAACCGAACGCCGAAAGCCCAACGGGTGTGGTGGGCGGCTCGGCATTTACCGCCACTGCGGTGCGGTGAAGGCAACAATTGGAGCATGTCATGCGCGGCCAGATCACCTTGAACTTCGCCTTGGCCAGGTGGTACAGGGCAGCGCTCCCCATCGCCCCCATTCCCACAACGATCGCGTCATAGCTGCGGCACAGAAAGTGCAGCTGACCACCCGATCGGAGATGCTCCCCAAGTCATAAAAGGGCAGGGCGACCCAGGAGGAAGGGGGCCCTTTAATTTGGTCAGGCGGCGCTAATGTTGCCCACCAGCTGAACCTGGTCTTTTCTGACAGAAAGGAAGCACACTGTCCAGTCGCCCGTCTCTCAGCACCTTTGATCCCCGCTCCTGGTCGACTGAAGCCGAATCGACGAGCTGCTGGCCAGGCCAATGCTCCATTTGGAAGCAATCCGATCAAGCAGGGGCCTGGCCGCGGCGACGCTGGTCCGCAGCATTGACCAGGCTTGTGGTCGTCGGGGTTGAAAATTGAGACACGGCCATGTCGTTGGAAGTAAGCACCCCCGAACGGTCCGCGAACCCCGGATCATCATACCGGGGGGTGGCCGGCGCCCCGGCCAGGGTGGCGGCCCGGCGCTCCGCGCCGGGCGCCCCTCCGCGGCGCGATCCGCCGACGTGGACCGGGGCCCCCGCGCGGTCAGAACCCTGACCGCCCCCATGTCTGACCGCGAACCATCTCGGCCGGTTCGCGCGCCCAAAGCCAAAAGTAAGGGAGTCCCAAACCCGGCCGCGAACCACTTCTGGGAGCCGCGAACCGGCCCAGCACCCCCCCGCCCCCGACGCCCAAGCACAAGGGCGAGCGAGCGGGCGAAGCCCGCGAGCGAGAAGCCAGCGGCGCCGGCCGACCCAGGAGGCCTAGGATCGAGCATTCCGGCGGGCGCGAGGCGGCGGCGGAGGCAGTGGCGGCGGCCCCGGAAGGGCGGCCAGGGAGGGCCCAGGGCGTGCGATCCATCGCCGATCCATCGCCGGCTTGAGTCCCGGCGGAAGGCGGCCCGCGGAGCTGGAAATTGAGGAAGGGGCGGGGGGCGCGACGGGTGTGGGGACGGCGAATTTGTGGGCATCAAGCCATTGTGGGATTCCGAGGACAGATGGAGTTGTAAGTGGCGGTGGGGGTGAGGGGGAGGGATCAGGGCGGGGGGGCAATGGCGGCACTTTGCCGCGCTCTGGCTGAACTCCTTAGTTTCGAACTGCCTTTGAGGGACAAAGCGGGGTCCATGCAGTTGGCGGGGGTGCGTGCTTGACGGGATGCATACGTCCACAGTCTAGTGGGAACATTTGAAAACGAACAACTTGTAAGAGAATACAAGTGCAGGCGTTATTGCAGATAGGAGGACACAGTTGTGAGTTGCCTGGATGTGCCTGGGTGTTGCAGACGAGGTTGCATCTAAGTCGATAATGCTTGGAAGATCGCCTCAATGTTTGCAATGGCCATCTGCGGCATTGCAAAATTGTATCTTGCATGCCTTGTCTGTGGGGTGTGGGGGTGGGGGGAGGCAGTTCAGAGTAGGCTGCGGCTCCCCACAGCATGTTGGCTGGAGCATATATTGCGGTGTATGAGCTCCAGTAGTGTAGCACACAATTGTGTCCCAGGAACCACCACACACAGTCAGCCAGACCAGTTTCTCAGTTTCTGCAGTATTCAAGGACGAAACACTAGATATAGTAACCAGTGCAGTGCATGTAGCAGTAAAGCGATGGTGTTCATGTCGTTGTGAGGAACTCCAAACATGGCCAGCAGTGATGGCACAGAACATAGCCCCCATGCCCACCCATACTCTGATCTCCACTGTAGCCTAATCATGATAACATATTTAGCATGTCCCCATATGGGAAAAGGTACACTGCCTTTAAAGAGGTACATTCTTCCCGCATTATACCCAAATACCATTGCCCACTTTAATCTGTTTCCAGATCTTCTGTGCAAACCGGCGGGACTGATAGCACATGCCAGGTGTTGCTGGTGAACAATGCAAAGGGGTCCCCTTAGATTGCATCCCAAGATATTGGACATGGTTGGGTCTCCCAACTTAGGAGCAGCACCCATGGCACTAGAGAGCCGAAGCACGATCAACAAGCAATATTTGCGTAAATTGCAGGGAGAGGCTGGGTGATTGTGGGGGCTGGATGCAAACCACCTCAGTTTCGCTCGTGTCAGACTTTATGTCCAGAGTAGTGTGCACAAATAGACGTGCTTTCCATGTTGACATTTCATTTGGGCTTACATCTGTCAACGGAACATGAATCACATGGTTGCAAGAACCCCAACATAAGCGCACCTTCACATTTTCGTTTACGCTACTAGCATAATGCAAACACAAACGTAGTAAGCTAGTTCATATTCGCACTTTGAAAGTTCGAATGTGCTGCACGCGTAGACTTTGTGCTGGCAGGTCACATATGAGAAATCGTCAAATATCTTGCCACAGTCAGAGCACAAGGTTTGGTTCAAAGGGAGCCCTTGATGCATTGTGTTTCAGAGAATTCTTCTTGCTCGATCAGTGGTGCGGTGGTGTGGGGTGTTATGCATTGGCTGAATTGTTTTGTGTGCACAACTGTGATTGGATGAGATGCTGGACATCCAGAGTTTCTTTTCAAGTTTGAGGAATGTGGGGGTGAGCGCAAAGGGCTAAAGCTGTGGGCGTGGGAGGCGACGATCGCCTTCCAGTCTTGCCGCTTTGTTAGCTGCAGTTGGAATCTGCGCTGGCGCGTTGGTGGCCCCGCCCTGCTGATTGCCATCACCACTGTAACTTGCCGAATTTGGCCCTGCACGGGCGCAGGCTGATGCCAGTGAACGTCGCTAGAGCCGTTGCAGTTCATACCCACAAGTGGCCGAGACTACACACTTGGGAGGCAGCAATTGCAAGTTGCAATTTGCAACCCACTCTTGCATCTTTGTCTCCCCAATGCATGGTTGCAATTTCATCATTCACACGTGGGGCACATTTCATGTTTCCGTTTGGATGTGCTGGACGCATCGTCATGTCCATTTCAGAGGTAGAAATGGGTACCACCTGCTTACATTCCCGTTTCAGGAAACGAAACGTTGTACAGCTGTTTGCAACTTTTTATTCTGCGCGTTACTGATGCCCTTTTGGCGATGTACGCCCATGCCTGGATAGCCAGCCATGGGCACTTTGAGGGCACAGTTAAAAGGGCTCACAGATGGTCAATGGGTGGTGGACTTAGGGTGCAAGCCGAGTGGGCTTTGGGTAGTGATGAAAAGGCGACCGCTGTGATCAGTGGCATTGCCAATGCTGTCGGGTACCAGGATATGTGTATCTTGAGTACACAAGATTGCCTTCCACCGCGTTTTATGGGACCCATGCAGCCAAGAGAGCAAGGCATTCTCAACGCACAATTGCGGTGATCACGTCTATGCGTTTGTGGCGACATTGCTGCAGTCCTTCACTGCTAGGTCGGCCTCCCAAGCTAGGCTGACACCTTCCCTCGCCAATGATTGCACAGCTGCGATGGATTGGAGGCGAGCCCAAAACCACAGGACGTTGTAGCCCTGTGACAACGGGTATGAGAGGCCCTTAATGCCCAATCCTCTAAACAAATTTTCTCTTCTGCACGTCTCAAGACCAACGGCGTTGTTGTATTTGAGGCTTTCCACAAAACAAGGATGAGCATCACATCACTTACGGAAAGGCTGGCCTCATTGGCTGCGTGGCGACCAATCAAGTCTGAGCTGTTAGCAAATAAAAATTGCCCAAGTGGTCTATAACCACCACTTGTTGCCTAAAGCCTTTCACCGATGGATGCACAGAGAACGGGCTGATTACGGCCTCTGCCATGGTGTTGTACGGTGTGGAGACGTGTGTTGAAAAAGTGGGAGTGGTTGGGGGCTATCCAAATTGATAACACTTGTGCGTTTACTTACAACAAAATCTAAGAGTTGTGGCTGGTGCTAAGTTCACAATAGTGTAAGTCCTTGTTTTGCTTGTTAACCCAGTATTGAATGCATTGTGACCTCCAAACGAATGTCTCCCAGTTGTAGAGCAATGGCATGGTGTGCAGCCACCCACAATGACTGCAGAGCTACACCACCGCATGCATGTCAGCATTGCTGCCTCAGTCCAGCACTGCTAACAAGGTGGTCTATATGTATCCCCTGTTAGACTGGAGTGTCAGTGGAGCAGCGCGTAGAATTTCCAAAATGATCATAAACACGACTGTCCAAAATTGTCAGGAAGGCCGCCCGCCATATCACATGTGGATGGCAGTCTGGTGTCTGTTAAAACACCAGCGGCAACATGTATTGCATACATATTCAAATGACAGCGTGGTGAAAGTTTCGCAACATTGTTATGCAATAAACACAATTGCTGTCGTGGATATGTTGTACAGCCCCCACGCCTTTCTGTGGCCGTATGCAGGTTACGTTGCTTGCAAGCATGGGAAGTTGCCAAGCCTAACATGTGACCCCTGAACCAATTGGGCTTGTGGTTCTGTGCCCTAGTGCTGGGAGTAGCACTCAACAAGCAGACAAACACCACAAGATTCCCATCCTTAGTGCGAGTACATTATGCATCTGTATAGTTCACATCAATGTGCATGGCGCTTGCATGCTCAGTCATCCATGAGGCATACGCAAAAAAATTTTGAAGAACCAACTGCACTACGATATTCAACGACATATGTTGTGTGGAACCTCACCAATATGCACCCCAAAATGTGAGAGATGTCGCTGAGTTGCTGCAACATCTGAATGGGCGTGTGCGCCACTCATCAGAGTGCTTGTGCGTTTGTGCAGCGAGGATTCTCCAGGGGGGGGCAACGGCACTGAGCACATGGGAGATGAAGAAGACGAATCTGAGGACTTGCCATCGGGCACGGCTGCATATCACCACCCTACCAAGGCCGACGTCAATGAGTGGTACCGAAGGACTGGCGTGATGAAGAAAGGTGGGAGCGCAGATCAACGGTGTTAACGCAATGGAGCACCAGTAGCCACATGGGGTGTGGCACAGGGAGTGCTTGCTTTCTTGTCATGAAATAGTGGCATGTCAGGTGGTGCATGCATAATTCCATTTTAGGCGCTGCTCTTCTGTTAGAGCCCGTGCGTACAGGGAAATAAATGACAATCTTTTGCCGT